TCTTTGCTCTGGACGAGGAGAGACCCACTGTTGGATCTAGATGGCAGCTTGCCAGCTTTTAAAATCCCAGTCACTACTTGCCAAAGTAGGAGGTGGAACAATGTTTTGTATACTATGTTATGCCAATTGAGCTTGATGTCCCCAGCGACTATGGTCCCGAGCCCACAGGTTCAACTACTTGGTCCCTCTGGGTAGCTGGCTATGACCAAGCAGTGACCATAACCTTGCCCCTTGTTGGCTCTATTATACACCTAGGAATTCTGATCATTCACATAAACTTATAGGGCCATTGTCTGCCAACCCTATGTATGTTCTTGGATACACTCCTTATTTCATAGACATACCTAATTGTACAGCCTGTCCACCCATCTATCCACTCATATACCCATGTTTGCCTTCGTTGACAATGCAGTACTATATGTGCAAAAGTGTTCATATTTGTTGTCTATACCTCCCATGTACCTCTCTATGTCTTTCTCATCCTCAGTGCTGCCCTATTGGTCACTCACATTTGGTACATTGCCCTTCACCCAAATCAGTACTTATTTCTATCTATCTAACAGCATTCCCTCCCTTCCCTTCCCACCCCCGGTAACCAAAGAAAATTTCCTTCTATAAATAAACCTTTCCTGTACCCACGCACATAGGTTTTCTTGGCCTCCATGGCCAAGCCACGGCACAAAAGGGGCAGTGCCGGGGCTTTTGGCGGCCGCAACAGACCCTGCAGTATGGAGTCGGCTGGCGCCAAGACCGCAGAAGCAGGGCATCGCGCGCAACAGAGTCGTGACCGCCATTGTGGTCGTGCTGCCTCCCCGGGTACCGCGTACCAGTAGCCTGCACTTGAACAGGGAAAGGATCTAATGGAGTATTCTTAAGTGATTAAATGTTTCAAAATGAGTAGCTTTTAGTTTAATAGATTTCTTTTATAAAATGGTATTATAATGCACGGTGATTTTATACAATGTGGTTATTTTATTGATTGTGCATTTCTTAAAATTTGAAATTATTAATTGGCTAATTTTTAATAGCAATAATAATATTTCAGCTATTTTATGAAGAGACCAAAGAGAAGGAAATTACTATTTTTCAAGTGCATACATGTTTGAGACTTCATATTTAGATTAGTCAATTTAGCTGTTAAAAAATGTCCCTGAGATAAGTAATACCATTATTCTTACTTTAGATATTAAGGAACTGGGGCTCAAAGTGACTTGATGAAGGTTGCTCAACTTAAGAACAACAGTAACCATTTTTAAACCACGTCTATGTGACCACAAGACTGTATTGTCTTCTCCATAATATATGTTCATAGATTTATTAATATATGGCATTCTGGAAGAATAATAGTAAATAAATGTAAAAAATTATACTTATGTTAGTAAATAAAATATAAATATCTTTACTTGTCAAGATGAATCTAATATAAAACCTCCTTTTTAAAAAAGTAAAAATAAAAAACCTTGTTTAAGTGTAAATACAAGTGTCAAATAATACAGAAAGATTTTTAAATAAAGACTACAAATTATCACTTGAGTTAAACACTTTTTTTAATACTAAATGCATTTTAAAAAGTACACAAGGGTAACAATAGCTAGATCTTTGTTAGTAAATTGATTCAATTCTAAGGAATGAATTATTCTTGAACAAAGGGTTAAAATCACATTGGGAAACAATTTTTTCATCTAGCAGTTTACCACCATTCATTATGAAATATGTAGTTGCTGCCTACAAAGAATTCTACTGTGAAATATAAAGACAAAAAAAAAAAAAAAAAGTAAGCATGTCTTTCTTTAAAATAAATCATGCATTTTTCTTTCTATAACCTGAGGAATAAAATACTGTTTTTCAGACTCGTATTTTAGTGACACACAACCTCACACTTCTGCCACAGATGGATCTTATTGTTGTAATGGAAAGTGGCAGAGTAGCACACATGGGAACATACCAAGAGCTGCTGTCTGAAACCAAACATTTCACTCATCTACTACAAGTCTTCAGTGAACAAGAAAGAGGTAAGTATACAAAAATAAACTAAATTCACAATATGCCTCTTTTCAAACTTCACTAACTGATTTCTTGCTATGATTTGTTTTTTTCATTCATCCTGCTTAAGTCAGGGACTGATCCCCTTCCTTTTCCTGAATATCGTTGGCACACAGAAACAAATATATTAAAACACATTAGTTTACATTGGAATCACTTAGAATCAACCTTATTTTTATATTATGATATTTAAGCAAAAATTTAAGTACTCCAGGGTCTGCTTCTTCGTCTATTAAATAAGAGATTAAATGACTTACAAGGTCTAGTCCAAGTCTAAAATATGTATCTAAACATTCTACTTTAAGAAAGTCTGGTGCAGCAGTGAGGAAGGCATTTGGCTGCTAATCAGAAGATTGGTGATTCAAACCCACCAGCTGCCCCACAGAAGGAAGATGATGCAATCTACTCCCATAAAGATTTACAGCCTTGGAAACCCTATGGGGGTCTCTATGAGTCAGAATCAACTCAATAGCATTGGGATCTTTTTTTGGGGGGGAAACATTCTACTTATTTTTAAATTAGAAACCAGGGCAAAAATGCTTGTGAAATAAATAATAATTTAATGGTCTGATGTATAATATGACATGTTGATAAAAAGAGACAAAAATAATATGAGGAAAGGCAAAGGGGAGAGAGATTTTTGTCTAACTTATAAGAATTAACAATTGGTTTTGTTTACTATTTTTTTGTATTATAGTCTTATATTTTAAAGTAAGATTCAAAGATATTTATGTATGTTAAGTGGTGTGATTCTGCACTAAGGTTTTAAACACAGAAATGTTTGAAATCCAGTGTTTCCTTTTTATTCCACAAAGATCAGTCCTAACCTTGCTCTGAAAGTTGGATGTGGCATCGTCTCATATTACAGCTATTGGTGACTTTTCATACAGATAATCAACATGGTCCTTGCCTTGTTTTTCAGAACACCATTGATAATAATTGTAAAATCTGTTAATACTTTCATAATTTCAGTCTAAATGAAGAAATGTAGAGTTTTATCTCAATAGTTTCTGTATGAACTGGTAACCATTAACTCACTTTACCTAATGTAAGGGTCATAAAAAACATAAAATTAGTTTGTAACTTAATAAGAGAAATTCAGCCACTCCTCGGAAGGAAGGTTGGGCAATCCTACTTCCGTAGTGATACTGCCTCGGAAACCCAAGAAGGGGTTGCTATGAGTCGGGGCCGACTCGACAGCAAAACGACAACAACAACAATACTGTGAAATTAAAAAAAAAGAAAAGAAAAAGAAAAAGTAGTTGTACTGATGTGTTTCTATTTTGGACCGAACCTAGAATGTGATGCATTAGTTAAGTACTCCAGAACTCCAAACACACTTCTGTTGAGTCATATCCAACTCGTAGTAACCCTTCCTTGGGTTTCCAAGGTGGTATCTCTATGGAAGTAGATTGCCCAGTCTTCCTTTCAAGGAGTGGCTGGTGAGTTTGAACTATCAGCCTTCTGGTTAGTAGTCAAATGCCTTAGGCACTATGACACCAGAACTCCTCGTTATGTACTATTTTTAAAAATTCATATTGTTTTTTATTTATATGAATAACAAACATTTTATGTAGATGTATCCAAAAATATTTGATCATCAAATTGCTGTATTCTTTTTTAATAAAACTTTAAGAAATTTTGGAAATAATTCCTTGCTTACTCAGTGAAACTAAATAATACTTTGTGTTCTGTGTGGGAAAGACACCCAATTTGTGAGAGACTCCTAGACCTAAACTGAAGGGCTGAATTAGTTTCCTAGAGTAACTGTAACAGGGTACCACTAACCAGGTGGCATAAAACAACAGAATGTATTGTTTCATAGTTCTAGTTATCAGTCTGAAATCAAGATATTTGCAGCATCATGCTCTCTCTGAAGTCTCTAGAGGGAAAGATTTCTTCCTTGCCTCATCCAGCTTCTGGTGATCCCTAGATATCCAGGTGTTCTTAGCTTGTAGATGCTTCACTCTAATCACTGCCTCCATCTTCTCATGGATGTTTTTCTTCTGTGTTGCTTCTCTTTTTGTAAGGACACCACTTATTTTGAATTAGGATGTACCGTACTTCAATACAGGGATCTCTGGTTGTACAATGCATAAGGCATTTGGCTGCTAACCAGAAGAATGGTGGTTCAAATCCACCAGCCATTCCATAGGAGGAAGATGAGGCAATCTACTTCTGTAAAGATTTATAGCCTTGGAAAGCCAGTGGGGGTAGCTATGAGTCAGAATAGGCTTGATGGTAGTGGGTTGTTTTTGTTTTTTTTTTTTGTACTCCAGTGTCGTCTCATGCTAATTTACCAATAGCATCTTTAAAGACCCTATTTCTAAACAAGTTCACTTTCACAGGTACTGGGAGTTAGGGCAGGAGCCCTGGTGGCACAGTGATTAAGTGCTCAGCTGCTAAGTAAAAGGTTGGGGTTCAAACCCACCAGCCACTCTACTGGAGACCTACTTTTTTGAGGATACAGTTCTATCTATAACAGATCCCTTTATTTTTCTATTCCCAGCACCTAGGTAGCCTCATGCTAGGCAGGTAGTAGGTGTTCAGTAAATAGTTATTAAACAGAGGAATTTGATTCAGTTGTTTCTTGTGGAAGTGTGTCTCCTCAGATCATTTGAAATTTTCTGAGGCAGTATCTTTTTTAAAGGCCACATGAAATACAGGGTGTATTACTTTGTAAATGCAGTTCAAAACAGGTACTATGTAAGTTTAAATCCAATATTTGATTATGTTAAAATTTGAATGATGTTTATTGAAAGTTGTGAAATTTGCTATTATTTAAGTTTCTAGTTTTGGAGAAAACATCCTGCCTTATCTGCATTTATATACCTTCTTATGTACAGGAGTCCTCTACTATAACATGTTAAAAGCAGTATTATTCTTGACACTGAGCTGACATTAATAGATTGTGACACCTCACCATCACAAATATTATGACAGAAAAAATATAAATTGAACTTGTTTTTCTAATTATCTTAATATCTGTGTCCTTTCACTTAAAATTCAGAAGAATGGAAAGTAGACATAATGTTTGTACTACAAGTAGAATATGTTTTAAAAAATGAATAGTCCTGAGATCTTGATATTTTGGATGGTGAATACAAAATATGAAGGCTTTAAAAAAGCAGCCATAAAGATACTTTACTCGTGCTAGTGACAGCGTAAATAGATATCTGTCTGTAAAAGGTAAGGTGAAATAGTGTAACTTCATTAACCATCATAGAGACCAAGGCAAAAATAGATTATTTTTTATTATTATTAAATAATCATTATAAAAATTATTCCATTCTAATGAATGAAAAATACCTGAACTGAAGAGTTAAAATCATATTTGCGAAGTAGTTTTTCATGTAGAAATATTTCACCATTCAGTGTGATTTTCCTGTGGTACTACCCTTAGCCCAGTGCCAAAGTGACCTAGTCCTGTGGTCCATAGTTTAGAGATTCCCCTGTTCTGGCTGACTCACTGGCCAAGAGGACAAGGGATTATGTCCATCGTGGTTCCCCTGCATCTCCCCCACTTCTTTACCATACTCTGTGGTCCTTTCTATCCCAGAATTCTCTGCCCAAATTGCATCAGCTTGCTTCTAGGACCTTGGCTATCATTCCTTAGCTCTGCCTTCCCAAGCACAGAGTGATCTTTTTGTGTGTACCACTTCTAGGCCTGAGTATTGGCTAAGGAGGCATGGACAGACCTTGTACATGTTGGTTGGTGTGTCCACAGATGTTCAAGGCCTTTTGTGGTCCAGGGTGGATCTTAGGAGGGGGAGAAAAGCAATGAGGGTCTTGACAGAGAACTACCTCATCCAGTACACATTCCCCAGCTGTACTTTCAGAAGTCCACAAATTCTTACCTGGACCTGGCCTCCCAGGTGGCTTGAAAAGTGTATCTGTCAGGGTACATTGTGGTACTTATTTAAGAGTCCATTACTTCGATCTATAACTTTTTATTAATTAGATATATAGCATTCAGGCCTTCATTTGTACTCCTGCCCACAGTTGTTGGGAGCAGGCCTGCCTTGATGCAGATTTTCTTTTTCTTATTTTTACAAGTAGTAAGGGAAAAAAAGATCAAATTACATCTTGGGACATTTTTGCTAACCTCAGTAGAAAAGGATTGCTGGCCAGGAGAGTGCAGTTACAGAGGTGTGCTCCTTGGTTAGGTTCCCAGTTCTAAAATCACTCTGTGATCAATCATTCACTTATTATAGTTCATCCTCTCTGGTCTTGGGTCTGTTTAAGAATTCCTTTAAGAGGTATACCATTCTTCAGTCATTTATATTTTTAACTTTGGTAACACTACAATGGGAGTAAAATGAAAACAGCATTGTAAAAAAACATAATGTAGATCAAACATCAGGTAGCCTGGATTCTGGTCCAGACAATGAATAATTATGTGAATCTTCATAGAAATAATTAATTACTCTGGTTCTTCTCATTTATGAAATAACTGATTTGAGCTGAATCTGTTTTTCCTAGTGGCTAATTGAGAACTGAAAAGTGCATATTGTATCTCAATTTTTCTCCCAAACTGCTTATGACCTACACACTCTATCTTCTCCCCCATCACTCTCCCTACTGGGGTTGACAAAGCATAATTGAAAAAGTAAACCACAAAAAAGTACAGTTTACAGCATAATTTGGATTTGGATATATTGATTCTCTAAGATTCCAACTAGCTCTGAAAAATCTAAAAGTCTTACCTCATGGAATGTACTCAATAGGGGATGGGAAATGAGTTTACAACAAAAAAATATAAGAGCACTAATGACAAATTTTACTCATTTACAAGTTTAGTCTGGGCTGAATCTTGTGTGTGCTAATAATATTGGTGATGTGTTGGATATTGACTAAGTCAATATCATCATGGGTTTTACATTTATTGAATTCTCCCTTAAACCTTCTGAGGCTACATTGTACAATTTGGTATCTTACTCAAATGAAGACAGATTGTAAGTGACAATTA